TAATTTAAAAATAAAAAGACAGACATTGTTTGATCCAGGATGCGCTCCTCTCTGCCATCATTTCCAAAGGGCAAAGGGAGCTTTGTGAAGAACGTCTTACTCAAAGTCTGGGGACCTGCTCATTTTCTTGTAAACTGTAGGAGAATGTCATTTTCTTGGTTTCTCCCATTTGGGGGTACTTGACAAAACTGACAGTTCTACCTCTGGCAAAAACTGGTAATTTGATGCCTGCTCGTATTGTTGGGAGTGGGAGACTGAAAGAAATGAGTTCGTTGCGACATTAAACAGGAATAAAATAGCTGTGGTTGTGATTCATTACTACAGATAATTAGTGGACCAGTGGCAGAGAAATTAAGAAAGAAGATGATATGAAAGATAAATGATATGATTTAGTGATTGATTGGGAAGGCCCCCCGCCCCCCAAAAAAAGAGTCAGTAAATCTTGGTTTTCAAAAAGTTCATTTTCTGGAAAGATAGCACTATATTGGGACCAGAATTCTATAAAACAATCATTTTATGTAGGAACAAGATTATCAATGGATATTTTTCAATGTAATTCTCAGCTGCTCCATAACTAATAGTGGCTTGTTCAACACAGATTTTTTCAGATGGTTCACACCCGTGGTTCTTACCCAGGCATAGTTCACCACCTCCCCCTCCCTCCCATTATCCTTAGGGAATGTGTGGCAATGTTTGGAACAATTTTTGGTTGTCACAAAAGGGGTTTCTTCTGATACTTAATGAGCAGAAGCCAGGGACACCTCTAGAGATCCTGCCATGTTCAGAACAGCCTCCATAACCAACAAAATTTATCGGGTCCAAAATGTGAGCAGTGCTGAGGCTGAGAACACTGGTTCACACTGTGTTCTTCCGGAAAATTCTAGACTCACATCATTTATACACTCACCGCCCCATTTCAGTTTTTTATGGTTTATTTTTGCTTGTTTCGTCATAAAAAACTAAACAGTTGCATAAATTCAACCACTTTCTTGTTGAATCCATTTAGTCAATGCAAGTTCAATACCTTCATATTTATTTTTTGCCTTCTGAAGTACTTTTCAACATTTTCATGAGTTGTTGGTCGTCACTATACTAACTTCCAACAACTTGTCCTTCTAAGTCACAAATAGTGATGCTACTGCAATTATTTTTCACTAGCGTGCCTCAGATTTCTGTACTGATTCTATATTTGATGTTATTCACAATGTAAAATGCTTCTACCTATTAATTTCACTTTTAACCACAGGATTATTTTTCAGTAATTTTTGTTAATTTCACACTTCAAAGAAAAGGGAAAAACATCAAAAATATATGCCCAGTTTTTTATGAATGTGTATATTTATACACATATATGCATGTATGTTTATATGAATTGAAACTACAGAAGCACATGTCACCAATAAGAGCTCTAAGACCACTTTGACCCCTTACCCTTATCAGATGAGATTTGCCAAGTGAGTTTTGGGAACAAATTCCTTTTAACTGAATTTCTGAGCTCTGTAGATTTAGAAATGCAAAGGAAGGTTTGCGGACATTTACGGGCATCATGGTTTTATTCTCCTTGAAACTCTTCCATACTTTCCCATTGTCTTTAGTATAAATCCAAAATCGTAACACCGCACACGAGACTTTTAAATACCTGGCTTCTTGTGATTTCTCCAGTCTAATCTTTTACCCTCCTTCCCCTCAGCCTCTCTGCTTTGGTGAACTTTGCTCTAGTCTCTTGAAGAAGTTCATCAATTCAAGCTTTTGTATATGGTATTTCCTACACCTCCCGTTTTGTCCAAACAGACACACAGGCTCCGCTCTGCCCCTGGCTCACTCCTGCTTAACCTGTGAAGTCACCTCTGAGCTGTCACTCTTCAGAGGGTCCTTCTCTGGCACCCTGATGTAACTGAGATCATCCTATTATTCTCTGCTCTAGAATCCACACTCCTGACATTTCCCATTCCTGTGTAAGCTCCTGTGTATTTGGGTTTTGGTCATCACTTCACTGCTCTTTAAGCTCCCTCAGCAGAGTGGAGAGGTCTGTTTCTCTTGTTTGGATTCCTAGAGGCAGCGCAGGCCTGGCACAAGGTCAGCACTAAGGCACAGGATGAACGCGGTGGGTGCTGTTGAAGGAACGGGTGAAGCCTGTGGGAGGAGAGAAGGGGCAGAGGGTGTGTTTGGGTGGAGGCTCCCAGGAGGAGGCGGCACGGGCTGCGATGCGGGGCCGATCCTCCTACAGCTCCTGCTTGGAGGTCTCCAGAACAGGCTGGAGGCAGGGAGGGGGCCCAAAAGACGGGATCATAGGCGGTTTTCCCTCCCGGTCCCCCAGCCCCTGCCCTCATCAAGAAGATGGAGGATGAGCCCCTGGGCTGCGCATGGTGGGGGTTGCAGGTGGGGCTGGTCAAGGTTCTCAGAGCCCGCACCCGCCCAGGGAGCCCCGATGGCGGCGTCGCTGTCGGTGTCTTTCCCGGAGGCCGCCCCCGTGACCGGATCGTTCGTGTCCCCACAGCACGTTTCCTGCAACAGCAAAAGGCTGAGTGTCGTCACTTCAACGGGACGGAGCGGGTGCGGTTCCTGGAAAGATACTTCTATAACCAGGAGGAGTATGTGCGCTTCGACAGCGACGTGGGGGAGTACCGGGCGGTGACGGAGCTGGGGCGGCCTAGCGCAGAGTACTGGAACAGCCGGAAGGACATCCTGGAGGACAGGCGGGCCCAGGTGGACAACTACTGCAGACACAACTACGAGATTTTAGAGAGGTTCCTAGTGCCGCGGAGAGGTGAGCGCGGCGGGCGGGGCCTCCCTGTGAGCTGCCAATCAGAGAGAGGGAGAGAGACTGAAAGAAACTGAGAGAGAGACAATGAGAGAGATTGAGAGAGAGACTGAGACACTGAGAGACACAGAGAGATTGAGAGAGACTGAGAGACAGAGAAACTGAGAGAGACAGAGAGAGGCTGAGAGAGACTGAGACACTGAGAGAGAGAGAGAGATTGAGAGAGAGAAAGAGACTGAGAGAGACTGAGAGACTGAGAGACACTGAGAGAGACTGAGACCGAGAGAGAGAGACAGAGAGACTGAGAGAGACTGAGAGACACTGAGAGAGAGACTGAGAGAGACTGAGACACCGAGAGAGAGAGAGAGATTGAGAGAGAGAAAGAGACTGAGAGAGACCGAGAGAGAGGCTGAGAGAGAGACACAGAGAGATAGAGAGCGAAAGCAGGCGCCATCTGTGAGCATTTAGAATCCTCTCAATCCTGAGCACGGAGCTCTGAGGACACAGGTGTGTGTAGAGCGTGGATTCCTGTGTGAGGCTGTTCTGGGAGGGGAGGCAGGAGGGGGCTTCTTATCGT